ACTTTGGTAGTTTTGACCATACTTTTTCTCTCAGTGAGTATATTTGATAGCAAAACATTAACTGGAAATGTTTAAGTAACAGGAATAAATAAGAGGAATTAAGTAAGAGGAATTAAAACAATTATTATTTTAAAGGAAAACTTTTAAGCAAAATAACTCCTGTTTAATAAATTCATTCAACAATTATTGCCATAATTTTATATTTTTCTCTAAATTGAAGTGAGCCGTGATGGCTCAGGGGATAGAGCTTTTGCCTCTCAATGAGGTGGGTCAGATTTGAATTCTAGCTGTGGCTGGTAGATACGAATTTCGCTTCCAGCTCGCACCGATCACAGTGCTGATGTAAATGTCCTCAGTGATACATGGATTATAGATTAGTATCCGCTTGTCGCAGGGCTAACCGTGAGGCATTTTCGTGGTTTCCCTCTCCCTGTGACACAAATGCGGGTTAGTCTTGTCAAAAAGTTCACCACGAAGACTAGTTTGTCCCATTGTTTGATACAGGAGTTCACTAATTGTCTTCTGGGTTGGGTGAAAACTTACAAGGCTACGGAGTTGAACATTGATAGTCGTAAACTCAGAATTCGGCCGGCTGTTCAATGCTGGTTATAAAATATTAAATTAAATAAAATGTATTTTATTTGTCACTTTGGGTCATAACAAAATATAATCTGCTCTTAATTGAACTTAGTTGCAAAGAATTAAAAAATATTACATTGTCATTCACAAACTTAATTAAATAAAAAGAGTGTTTATAATGTTCAAAGAAAAGTCAAAGGTTTACATTTTAGTTTTAACTCAGATATAAATCTTTTTTGAACAAATAAAATCAAGCATTTAGATCTATAGAGCATTTTAACAGGAAACCCAGTGCTTTTGATTTGCTCGCTTGGCGATAACTTCAATGATTTGATTACATAAGGGATTTGCTTGAAACCATATTGATGGTTCTTTTTCTTCTTCTAATCATTAAGAGAGAAGCAGAAAATAATCTGCAGTAAACAAGGAAGTCTGTGTTTATGGTCATACAATCGATTATGATCTGATTCCCCACATTTACGACCACTTGCAACAAAAGAAAAAATTGTCTCATTATGGTGGAAAAAACTACTGAGAGATGGAATATAAATTTTTTTTTTTTGAAAAACAATTGTAGAAAAACAAAGAAATGTGGTCAATGAATGATCGTAAAAGGAGATTAGACTTTTGCTAACTCTTTAAGAGGGCAGGAAATTTAAAAAAAAAGTTTGGGAAGTAGAATGAAGGAAGATAAACAATTATGTATTTTCTAGTGTTTTGATTTTTTCCGAATCAATTATTCTCTATCATGATGTTTCATAAATGCATGAAGGAATTAATGATTTCATACCTTGATACTAAGAAGCGTATAATAGAATTTAACTTGGGAATTGGAATTTTTTAACAATAGCCTAAATTACAAATGCAATCAGATAAAAATATGCTATGCAAGCATGTTATATAAGTTCTATACAATGATAAATGACATCTCAATACGTTTTACTTTTTATTTAAAAAAAATGATTCAGTACACTATTATTTTATTAAATTTTTTTATTCATCGATTATTATTTTAAGTATTTTACAATGGTTTTCAAATTTCTTCAATATTATTTCTCCCAATTCTTAACTATCGACAAATATATTACAATACTGTATGCTGTCTAGCTATTCCACTATATTTATATTAGAATGATTTACTCTGTCTCAAAAACCTTAAAAATTTAAGTTTGTCTCATATTAAAGTCCATAAAATAATAGGCTTAAGTCAGTTAAGAAGTATATTTCAGGTATTTTGAAGGAAAAAAAAGATTTTTTCATAAATCTTTCCTGGTTGAATAATTATGATAGGGCATAAAAATAAAATAGTTATAGTCTAATAAAAGAGTTATTCAGATAGTTGAGAACATTAAAAACAAAAGACTATACTTAAGATATTTCTCATTCTCTTATATGTTTTATTTTATTAATCTAAATGTGAGTTCATCAGACTTTGAGTTGATTACTGATAACTCAACTTCATTAATTATTTAAAGGACAACGAATTGAAATGTTTAAAACAATTAATTTATGTCTATTAGTAACGTAACACATCTAAAATTATATCTTATTATAAAAATATGTACTAATTAAAATATATCTTAAAATCGAACTCTAGTAGTTATTTTTAAACTACAATATATTCATATTTACTAATAAATTATATATTTTTTTAAAAAAAATGGCTAACTAGTTATAGTTAAAAAAAGATTTCGAGCACAACAATATAACATTTGCTCATTTCGAAAAAAAAAAGAAAGAGGAAAGGCTAATTACTGATAATCCAACTTCATTAATTATTTAAAGGATAACGAATTGAAATGTTTAAAACAATTCATTTATGTCTATTAGTAACGTAACACATCTAAAATTATATCATATAAATATAAAAATATGTACCATTTAATATATATCTTAAAGCCGAACTCTAATCGTTATTTTTAAACTACAACACATTCATATTTGCTAACAAATTATATATTAAAAAAAAATGCTAAATAGTTATATAGTTAAAAAAGATTTCAAGCACAACAGTATAACATTTGCTTGTTTCGTAAAAAAAAGAGGAAACGTTTGTCATGCATAAAATTTTTTTACCCTTCTTTTTTTCTTTCTCTTTTCTTCTTTTCTTTCTTTTGAAAAAAAAAAAGAAGAGAACAAATGACAGTTGATTACTAAATGTTTGAAAATAATAGGAAAAGCTCAGTTTGGCATTTAATAGCATTCTAAGTGCAAGTGAATATTCATGAAAATGAATCTCGTGTTGGAGTATCCCATTTAAAACATAAATAAATAGAATGAAGCAAAAAGTTTATAAAAGTGGACCAACTTGAAAATGGTCAGCCCCCCGCCTGTTCCAGTGAGATACCTGTTGTTGTGTGGGTCAGATGGTTGTTAGTGGGATCAATAGATTTCCGGCTCATAACGCCAGATGTTATTTTACGAATAGAACTGTCGCCAATATATCAGTAGGTGTATTTTTATTCTTATAGCCACACAATTTAGAGAAACTAGTCACGAATTACAGATCACTCGCCTACTTAACTCTTTTGGGTGTCACAAGTGCGAAATAACATAATAGAATTTATTTTATAAATATAATCTGACGCATTTGTGAAAACTAATGGTTTTCTTTCATGGATCACAATGAACAAGAGAGAAAAAAATAGGACTTGATGTTTTTGTAACACTTTTTGATATTGCATGTATTATTCAAAGCTGTAAAGGACTTTTTTATATACACTTATATGGCTAGCATATCGTTGGCTAAATTCATGTAAAATTCTAAATGTATGGGATTTTGATAAACAAGCCTAAGAATTTTCAGAAATTGCTCTTGACCTATATGATATTGTCAATCTATTAAATTCAGCTATTCTACAAAACGTGAAGTTACTGTATAGAATGTTGTCCAACATTTCTAAGCAAAATATGAAATATGCGAATTATATTATGCATTTCATTGTATTGAAGCACGTGTAAAATATTAAGCATTTCATACTTCACCAGTTTACTTTAAGTCATTTTATAGAAGACCTTGACAAAGTAGGTAATATTAAACGTTTAATATTCTGCCGGGTGATTCAATGCATTTTATACAGGTAATAGGTATTCTATTCACATNATATATATATATATACTGTTGTATGTCTAATGAATAAAAAATAAAATTTTTAAGAGCTATGTGAAAGGCTATAGTTACTTTGTTTAAGCTCCTGTATTATTGCTAAAATATGAAATTGTATCAAACTTTAGTTTTTACATACAATTAAGTTGTCTCATGTCTATTAGTACCTTGAAATATTTTTCGAGAGATTTGTATTTATTATACGCTATTTATAAAACAGGATCAGTATTCTATTAATTTCAACTTATTTTATGAGTTCTGCAATTATTTTATCGAAAATTTCCTTTCCAACAAGATTGTTATAATTTATTTTTATCCCCTCTTCTATTTCTATAAGTAGAATTCAGATTAAAAAAATATTATTTAGGAAAATTTTAAAAGATATTTATGGTAAAACACTTAAAAACTAGTTAATAATATATGGGTAAATTTAAAGTTTAATATTCGAATATTATTTACATTGTATAGCAAAGTGAATAGATATGATTTTGTTATAGATTCACAAACAGTATTCGTATATAATGCAATATTTTTAAAAACTGATTTGTAATTGATAACAAAAGCCAAGCATTTTTCTTATATCTATGCTCTACAAGAGCATTAGAGATATATTGATTAATTATATAAAACTACACTACTTACTCAATAATTACCATATGGTTTAATTTAGCTGTGTAGACCTTCAGAATTTATATTAGTAAGCCACATTTTTCCAAAGATGAAAATTTTTTAAACGCTAAACTCTTCCTTAGTATTGTTTCTAGATAGGTATATATTTCGGAAAATTACGCTAAATAACAGCTCACAAGAAAATCCCATTGAAAACATATAAGTATGAATATTTCATACCAAAATTACTTTTGTAGTTACATTTTGTCACAGTTGAAAATTTGGACATGTAGTTTACTATTCAATTACTTTTGGCTTCTGATACATTTAAAACAATAGAATATCTTAATAGTTCATAATTACAGATAAGGTTAAGCTTCTTTTGCATAACTTTATTCAATTTTCTTTTATAATAACTTAAGAAATATTTATTTATATTATTGAAAAAAGGAAGATTTTATTTCTTACTCGTTTTGGAATATTTACCCAAATAAGAAATTTTCAATTATCATAAATATTAGTTTGCTTTAACAATAAATGGAAAAAGCATTTTTATTTTTTTTATACATAAAATGTAGCTATTTATTCATACTAACCCATAAACAAATTATAAATATTTAGAACATTACACCAATATACAAGATTTACTAGAGTCATAAAAATTAAGGAGTCTAATAAAAAATATCAATAAATGAGATTGACTTACCATTTCATATTTTATCTATGATAAGCAGCTGATTTTTTCTTGATAAAATTTGATTCTCCCTTACGACTGGATGTTGTTCCAGGCATACCATTATCCTTTAAATCTAATCCACTGACCAATTGAGCGAGCTCTCTCTCTTTTCTATCCTCATCCCTAGATCTTTCCGGACCATCCCCATCATTTGTTAAAGAGTCATTGGCAAAAAACTGGAGACTGGCCAAACTATTTGATCTGGAACGGTGCTCTTGCCTTATAGAATAAGAAAAAGCTCTTTCATTTAAATGTCCTTTCTTTTTGTAAATCCCGGTGTTAAAAGGAGAATCATCCTGATCCTTTTCTCCCGAACTATCCTTGTCGTTTCCTAATTCTGAGCTATCCACAACAAAAGAAGATTTTTCAGGCGGGGGTGGAGGATGGAATGATTGGGGTTGATAATAGTGTTGTTGTTGCGACACTTGTTTCGAATGACGTCCTTCCCCATTCCTTGCGTAGGCTTCCCTAAATTGCATATTTCTAGGTGCTGTTCCATATTGCATAAAGTATTGTTCATATGGAAAAGCAGCTGGTTGGTATGTTGACACTGGACTGAGTGGCCTGCTCGAAATATAAATTGGCTCTTCATGTCCTGGCAAAGGCATGCGAGTACTCCTGGGCATTCTACGTTCTGTATAATATCCTGCATTTCTATACGGTATTTGTGGGGGTGGAGCCGGTACAGATCCATAATGTCCCATTACAGAAACAGGCCGCATACCATTCATCATTCTTCCATTGCCATTCATTATTATCTGTTGTTCTTTCTGTTTTTTCTTACTTTTTGACTTCGATGGTTTGGGCATCTTTCCATTTTTGTAATCTTTACCATTGAAAAGACTCGGTGATGGGGGAGGAGGAGGTCGAGGAATGCCTCCAGCCATTTGACGAATTTTTGCTTGAGCCGACCTCAGAGTCCCCGATGCTGACTTCATACTCCTCATAGTACCCATTGAATCCACATACAACAATTCTCGCTCTGTGGGAGCAATACCAGTCCATATTTTGTAATTATCATCCTCTTGACTAATATTCCCATTTCTTGGTGGAACATTAGGTTTTATTCCATTAGTGATTTGTTTTTGATTTCCATTGGGTATGGTAGACCCCTCTCCTTTTGAGCGCCAAACCTCAACCTTTTCTAAAGTATTCAATCCGGAAAGAGATTGAGATCTTCTATTTTCCATGAAATAAGGATTTTCATCCATTTGTTTGGCTTGCATGCTATCAGCATATGAATGAAAACAGCAGCGTACAAGAGCGTTAGCGGCGGCTTCTTTTTTACAAATAAAAGCATGACATTCTAAAACTTTAATTCCAGTAGTACGCCTGAGTATGCACGCAAAAAGAGGTGGATGACTCGGATCCGCATACCTGGCAAATGGGCTGTCCAAAGGAAGAAACTTCTCAACTCTTTCTCCATTATTACCAGGTACGACAACATATCTAATAGCGGCACAATAATGCAAAGTCTCAATATTAAAAAATCGAGTTACTTGCCTCATAGATTCATCCACATTCTCCAAAAGTATTCCATTGCTCCATACACTAAGCCAAGAATCAATTCCTTTGGCAGAAAATGACCCCTGTTCCGGATACAGATCCCGTAGTGGCTCCTGTATTCCTTGTAAACCATCTTTAGTAATATGGGGTACAGCCGATCCCAAGTACAGGACACGACACCTACAAATCGGAGTCGTCATCTCTAACAGCCAATAATCTAATTTAAACGATAAAATCCATAGATATGAGATATCTTTAACACAGAACACAAACAAACAGATCGAAGCATCAATAAATGACAACCAATATGGCGTTGCAGCTACAGACGTGTCCGCTTTCAGCTTTGGATAGTTTCCTGTTCTCTTCGCATCAACCGGATTACAACCATTGGCGGAATCTACCTGGTCGGGCAGGTAGTTGGCCAATGAGAGTCGTCCCAGCAACTTTTACACAAATATGCTTCTCTCTTTTCCCTCTTGCAGCAGGTGATGAAGGTCAGTGCTTTTTTTTTTCTTCTTCTTCATCCCCCATCCTACCTACCTGTTGCTCCGTATGTTGGGAAGACAAGAACCGGATTTTTTCATCTCTTCTTAATCAGAAACCGAGCCGCTTACTCATAAAATGAGGGATACGTTTCCGTGGTGAAGTTTTGTAATTTTTCGGTTGCCGTTTGTTGTCAATTTTTTTTTCTTCATTGTTATGGTAGATAATACTTCAAAAAGGGGAGCTAAACAAAGCGTGTAAACAAGGAAATTTTTTTTCTAAAGTACTTCGTTTCTTTGTAAATGGACCAGTAGTCTTATTGTGTTTTTATTTCTTTAATACGGAGTGGAATAATGCGATTAATTTTCTAAACAAAATTTTATCGTTGCTTTTTCGAATAGTTTACAATACCCGTTATAGTATGTTTGATAGAAACGGACTATTAGACACTGATATTTGTTGTGCACTACATGTTTTAGTTGATACGAATATTTAATTGAAAAATTCTTAAACAAAACGATATAAAACAAACATTTTAAATGAATAATAAATATTATTGTGTTGTTTTGTAGTCACGTTTTTTTTTATTGTCATGGTCAATAATACTTCAAAGAGGAGAATTAAACAAAGCGTATAAACAAGAAATTTTTTTTAGGTACTTCATTTCTTCGTAAATGCACTAGTAGTTCTATTTCTCTAATACGGAGGAGAATTTATTATTTTCTAAATCGATTAATTTTCTAAAAATTTTTTTTTCCTTCTCTTTTATGCTAGTTTATAATAGTTTTTGTAACTCGTTATCGTACATTTGATAAAAATAGACTATTAATTTCAGAGTGATAACTATTTTAGGCGATATGAATGTTTTATTCAATCTTATATTAGACACATAATACAACAAGAAAAAAATTATTGCCATAATTTTATGTTTTTTTCTAAATTGAAGTTAACCGCGATGGCTCAAGGGAAAGAGCATTCGCCTTTCAATGAGATGAATCGGGTTCAAATCCCAGCGATGGCTGGTCGATACGAATTCCGCACCGACCAAAGTGCTGACGTAAAATATCCTCAGTGGTAGACCAATCATGGGTTAGAGTCCCCCTGCCATCAGGCTAACCGTGAGAGGTTTTCGTTGCTTTCCTCTCCATGTAATGCAAGCGCGGGTTAGTTCCATCAAAAAGTCCTCCACGAACGCAAATTTTTTCCCAATACTCTATCCACGAGTTTCCTTGTCTTCTGGATTGAGTTCAAAATTACAAGGCAATGGAGTTAAACATTAGTAGTCGTAAATCCAAATAAATTGGTCGGTTGTTCAGCGACGGATATAAAATAAAATTTATTGAAGTTGTTATTGGCATTAACTGGGAAATAGTGCTTATTCAGGGGTTTATAAATAGAGAATATCAGTAAACTTCAGGGTTTATAAATAGAGAATATCAGTAAATTTCAGGGTTTATAAATAGAGAATATCAGAATACATGTACCATAAATGTATAACATTGTTAGCGCAATATAATACTTACATAAAAATTCTAGGTGTTTCGGTAATGTACCGATAAGGCTTAATCATAATTTTGTTGTAGAAATGAAGGATAATTCTACACTAATATAATTCTTACACTAATGTTATGCATACATATAGAATAAGGACTGTACAAATAATAAAAAAATTGAATCAATATCTCGTCGAATCAAAGCTTTATTCTAGGCTATAGAGCTTGGAGCTATAGAGAGAGAGAGCTTTCCCAAATATTAAAACAAATCATACAGCAGATCTCGTATATTGCAATAGTTGAAAGTGGAGCGTTTTAAAACTTTTCAGTATGAAGTAGTTATTGTAACGGTATAAAAAAACATGTTTTGTAAAAAAAAAAAAAAAAAAAAAAAAAAAAAAAAAAAAAAAAAAAAAAAAAATCGAAAATTGATAAGTAATTAATTTATCATAAAGTAAAATCGGGAAAACTTTTTTTAACTAATAATTAATATTATCAGTAATCAATAAAAAATATCCACTTTCCTTCCAAAAACAGGCTTACATGATAAAAAAAAATAACTGAATAATTTCAATATGTTTATACATTACTTCACATTTCAACTTTACACGTAAATAAATTTTTTTTTATCAAAATGTTATATTAGTTGCGTATGTAAAAGAATAAGTTCTCCTTTCTAGGTTTATATGAAAATGTCTTACTTTGGCATCATCTAATGTCGCTAATTAGCAATATTCCATTTCCGACATTTGTGTTAATTTTCTACTAAAATTGATCATGTCTAGTTTTCTTCTTTTTTTCTTCAATGAATACAAATTTTTACTTCTCACATAAAGGAATACATATGAATATAAAAATTGTAAGGTAATACATTTTTTCTACTAAAAAAATTCTTAAAATAATGAAATGAAAGGACTGAAAATGCCAAATGGGCTACATACCTATATACGCATCAAATAGTGAACTAAAGGTAGCATTCAGTACAAACGATTTAACAATAAAAAAGAAACTCCTTTTTTAAAATTTATTTTAAAACAACGAGACTAAAGCTGTAACAATGCTTATAGAAAATCAGCATTAAATAAAATAGTATATATTGACAATATTTAAAGTGGTTTTTGAATACTTCTCAATACTTTTTAATTATGCTCTTTTATTAAAACATTTGTATTTTGAAATTATTAAAATGATACCAAAAAAAAATGGTTAGTGCAAATATAAAACTTAAAAAAGCAATTCATTCCCATTTATGCCTTGAATTATATTAAATATACATTACTTATCTTGTACTATGTTTAACAAGATAAAGAAAACAGAGAAACTTTTGATCCTAACTTGTAATATATATATAATAGGATTTTTATTTCCTCTTCTACAATTTTGTATGTGTTTACAAAATTTCGAATTTTTTTTAATGATCTTTTAATGCCAGACTTTTTCATTATTTGATATTCAAAGAATGCCGTTTCCTTCCTGTTTATTAATTTTCGTATCACATTTTAGGAATATTAAGCAATGTATATTCTCTAAAATTCTAAGAATTTCTTGAAGTATTAATGCCAGGTATAAATATTCCAATTTTTATACTATTCAATGTATAGATTTCGAAATAATTCCACCTTTTTTTAAAAAAAAATAAAACCTGAATACAATGAATCTCTAATTCCTTTTAGCTTCGTTTTTTTTTATTATCAAAAACTAGATTTTACTCAGCATATCTTTTTTCAATGACGATCACATTGATCTATTTCTCATTGACCTCAGAAATGTCAGAATTGCTATTCTTTTACCCAGAGGGCACTTGTGGCTAAGCCAAGCCAGTGGAGTAGCATTGCCCACGAAATACAACTACAAACCCGTTTACTGAGTAGGTTACAGAGAAAGAGAAAGAAAGTTACATCCATGCCTACGGTGGGATTCGAACCCACAACCGCTGGCCCCGTTCGCCCCGTAGTCCAGTACAGTAACCACTAGACCAGTGATCGACCTTTTAATCAGCATTCAAGATTAATTAAGTGACGCCTTTACATTCAAGTCAATTTCACTTGTGCTTACCTCTCTAAGAATCAAAGATAATCACTGACTATAAGATTATTGAAGCACGTACAATAAACCCCCATTGAAACTCATTATTTTAAATGAAAAGAGTTGTAAACAAGGACAGCGGGTGAAGCATTTGCGAACGATTATTATTGTTACAAAATAATAATCGTTTACAGATGAAATTGCTATGATGCGTAATGCCAATCCAATGAGTAAAGTTTATTTTTCCCTTATTCTTCTTAATTGGACTAAGTAAAAATTTTCGGATTATGGGCTGAAATTGTCCCTTCCACCTAATAAGTTTCATAGTTATAGCGTAAACAATATTCGAGTCAAAAAGGAGTTAAACAATATTCGAGTCAAAAAGGAGTTAAGCAATATTCGAGTCAAAAAGGAGTTAAACAATATTTGAGTCAAAAGGTTAGTGAGGATACTGAAATCACTAATTCTTCCTTTTATTGTTATTGGTAATATACATTTAATTCACAAATTTAATATATTTCATTAATAATTTAATATTATTTATTAATGCATTTGGATCATATATATTGCACTATTGTATTACAATAAATATAGTATTAATTTTACAAAATTGATCATGCTATTACTTTTTGACTTAAAAACATTAAAATATATTTATCTTTGTTCGCTTAAGAACAATATCGAAACAAGTTTAATTTCTTCTGCTTAACCAAAGTCTTCTGATTATAGTTGAAACTTTCAGATTCTTACGTCAATTAAAAAAGAGAAGGAAAAAGAGGACAGGTATTTTGTGGGAGTTGGCTTGTTGTAATAGGTGAAGGTTAAATTCTTAGTAAATTCTCTCACTGATAAATACATAACTGCTTTAAAAAACTACAAAAAAAATATTTCTAAATAAATTGTATAATTTTATATGCACAAAAAAACTTGTTAAAAATATGTGGTAATTGTAAACGTATTGTTTAACAGTTCTATTAATATGCTTAAATATGAGATATATTTTAAAATGTCAGTCAGGGTGGGAATATAAAAAAGATCGGTAATATTTACCAAAGTGGTAAAATTCATGATTTTGGTAAAATTAAAAATAAAATATAATTTATAATATAATCTGTTTCACTTGCCCTCGAAATTGATCCTTGAGTGATAAAATTTGGTAAATGTGATAAAATTTATTAATTTTATCATAATACCTTAGGGCATGGTATAAAAACTATTTCCGGTAAACCGTTGTCATTTGAATGAAAAAATTACGAAATGAATGGTTTAAATGCCATATATTTTGGTTTTATTAACAAGAATTATCGTTCACCTTATGAGAAATGTTACTACCATACAGTACTGTAATTTTTATTCTCCGTGTAGAAACACGTAAATAAAATCAAAGTAAACTCCTGGCTTCATATAGTTTAAAAATATTTTT